TTGTTGACCTATTGGAGAAGTTCTCAATCCACTATCAGCTCCTTCAAAATATCTCTGAAATTTATTACAGAGACAATGATGCAACCCATGAATCCAAACCAAACCACAGATGGCTCAAAAGGCTAAAAGTTCATTCTGTGCCTTTGGCTAGAAGTCAGAAGACTGGTTAATGTGGCACAGTTTATGACCTCGGTGCAATATCCCCAACTTTTAGAGAGGTTGAGCTTATATTTCACAGCTAAGTGCCATAGTGGATAGAGCACTGGACCTGGAATCAAGAAGACTTTACCCAGAATCCAGTTTCAGATATCTAATAGCTATGTGACCCCAGGCAAGTCATTTAACCTCTGTCTGCCTCAGTTTCTTCATCTGTAAAATTTGGATAATAATAACACCTAATTCTAAGGGTTCTTTTGAGAATAATAAGATGATTTTTATAAAACATTTGGCAAATCTTAAATCACTATATAAATCCTATTATTGTTGTTACTATTCATCTAAAGCTTTGCGAATAGCAGATTTGGAAATGGGTACAATGCTGTCAGTGAAATCCTGGAGCAGAAAAGGGTACATATTGCAATAGAAATCCTACAAACCAGTATCATTGGATCATAGGTGTACAACCAGAATAGACTTTAGAGATCATTTAAACCCCTTCTTTTTTTTTTTGTCATGAACTCCTTTAATAGTCTGGTGATGCCTATGTCCTCCTCTGAATGATATTTTTAGATTGAAATACATAGGATTACAAAGGACACCACTTATATTAGAATAAAATAAAGATGCAATTTTTTCCCATCCTAACTCACAAAACCTCTGAAATGTATCTACAGACCCAGTGGGAGTTCATGATCCCAAGATTAAGAACTCCTCTTTTAAATCAGTCATAATTTCACAGATGAGGATAGAGGCACCAAAGATCAGCATATATCTGGGAAGGATTTGGTAAAAAAGAAAAATAGATAGATAGATAGATAGATAGATAGATACATACATACATACATACATACATACATACATACATAGGTACATAGATACATAGATACATAGATAGATAGATTTGTTTATCAATCTACCAGGTGAAAATGAGAACATAATTTCGTTTTTACATATTAATCTCAATCTTTTTTCACAACCCTGTGAGGTAGATTAGACATTTATTGATAATGTCCTCATACAGACATAGGAAACTAAGACCCACAAAGGTCATCATGACTTGTCCAAGGCACAAAGCTAGTAATTGTCAGAATCTGGACTTGAATTTCAAATTCAATGCCTTTTCTACTACCCCACATTAACTTTCAAAGGCATTAAGATCCACAGATCTTAGTTCAGAACTTGCTGGTTCCTCTTGAGGCCAGGGTTATTTTCAATCAGGCACATTTAAGGTTATATGCAAGGGCTGGGGCAACACACAGAGACTGCTTAAGGGTGCCTTTGAAGGAATGTGCAAGGATAACATTCTCCACTCTGATCCAACAAATGCTGGAGGTCCCCACCTGTTTGCAGGACCTACTCATTCCTCAGGCAACAGAAATAATCAGGCACATTAAATACCACCTTTCTTCTTATGGCGGGCAATGAGAATTTTAGGTGGGACTGATGGGATTTACCCCTAGAACTTCGCAGTGCCAATGTGAGCAGTGATAGCAGAGGATGGCAGTTGTGGTAGAATGGATTTCATCAGTTTCTACAGGAACTTAATAGCACCCAGCTAATGCTGAAATATTGGGCCCTGATGGCCACTACAGTGAATCAAAACATAGTCTAGAAAACCTACAAGGTACCGACCTCCCTACTCTAACATGCTCTACTCATTATAATAAGCTGCTTGAAGACAGTCTCCCAAAACAAATTGACTGTTGATAGAGTCAGGAATGAAACCAACAGAAGACAGAGATGCTTACTTACCTTGCAAAGAGATTGAGGGATATTCTTAAGGTCTGCCTGGAGTATATTGCCAACAATGGAAGGAGGAGCAGGACCAGGTGGAAGCTTTCCTCTTCCAAACCCTTTTTCCATGATAAAATGAGAAGCAGACATGAGATACAGAGCAGTAATCCAAGAGCAATGGCCACAGATGGATCCATTGACACTCTTCCTTACTACTAATGCAATAGAAGGCTTAGAATCCAAAGATGGAAAGAACTGCAAACACAAGATCAATCAGGTAATAATTCCTTGGCATCCTGATTAAGCTTCTGATGGACTTTGGCCTGCCACTAAGATTAATAGAAACCTCCTCTTGTTCTACGGTAGTGTATTTTAAAGTAACAGGAGCCATTAAATTTGTTGTTTGAAGTTTTACTGAATCATTTTGCTCCTTATGTGCCACAGTTATTTCCCAATATGGTCCTGCCTCCCCTTACGATCAATACCTTTAACAAACATTAAATAAAACCAATGGTACTCGGACTTTGACGGTGTATGTCATATATCATAGTAGCTTAACACTCTGCTGAAAAAGTGCTTCTTAATCTGTTCCAAGATTGAGGCCACTTTCATAACATTAAAAACCTCATTAACCTGTTGTTATTTGTTCTTCATTCTTGAAGAGGACCATAACATCAGGGAGGGGATGCCATGAGCTTTCCTTAAAATTATAAATAATATCTGTCTAAAACCACCAGCAAGCGTTATCTATAATGGGTATAAATCAGAAACTTTTTCAATAAGATCAGGGGCAAAGCAAGGCTGTCACTGTTATTCAATCATGCTGGAAATGCTAGTTACAGCAATAAGAAAAGAAAAAGAAATTGAAGGAATTAGAATAGACATTAAGGAAACAAAACTATCAGTCTTGGCAAGTGATATGATTATATACTTACAGAATTCTAGAAAATCAACTAAAACTTAATTAAAATAATTAATAACTTCAACAAAGTTGCCAGATATAAAATCATCAGCATTCATATATATATATATATATATATATATATATATATATATATATATTATATATATATATATATATATATATATATATATATATATATATATATATATATATATATATATGTATGTATGTATGTATGTATATATATATGTTACCAACAACGTCCAGCAAGGAGAGGTAGAAAGAGAAATCGCATTTAAAATTACCTCTTACAGTAGAAAATACGTGGGAGTCTGCCTTCCAAGACAAATCCAGGAATTCTGTGAACACTTTTCACACAAACAAAGTCAGATCTAAATAACTGCATATATATTCATTGCTCACAAGTAGGCCAAGCCAATATAATAAAAATGAAATTTCTACCAAAATTAATTTATTTATTTAGTGCCATACAACCAAACTACCAAAAAGTGTTTTGTAGAGGTAGAAAATAAAATAACAAAATTCATTTTGTAGAACAAAAGATCAAGAATATCAACAGAATTAATGGAAAAAAAATGTGAAGGAGGGTAGCCTAGCAGTACTAGATCTCACCTGTATTACAAAGTGATAATCATCAAAACAATTTGATATTGGGTAAGAAATAGAGTGCTGGATCAGTGGAATAGTTTAGCTATACAATACATAGAAGTAAATGACCATAGTAATCTAGTGTTTAACAAACCCCAAGATCCAAACTTTTGGGATAAGGACTCACGATTTCACAAAAATTCCTAGGAAATCTTGAAAGCAGTTTAGCAGAACATAAGTATAGAACAACATGTCACAATATAACCCAAAATAGAGTCAAAATGGCTACATGATTTAGACATACAGGGTGATCTCATAAGCAAATTAAGAGAGCATGGAATACTTTACCTGTTAGATTTATGATTAAGGGAAGAATTTATGACCACATAAGAGTTAAAGACTATTATGGAATGTAAAGTGGGTAGTTTTATTGCATTATATTAAAAAGTTTTTGTGCACACACACATACGCACACACACACACACACACACACACACACACACACACAGAAGAATGCAACCAAGGCTAGAAGGAAAGCAGGAAACTGTGGGGGTGAGCAAATTTCTCTGATAAAGGCCTCATTTCTTAAATATATGGAGAACTGAGTGAAACATTTAAGTATATGAGCCATTCCCCAATTGATAAACAGTCAAATGATATAGAGAGGCACTTTCCACATGAAGAAATCAAAGCTAACTATATTCATATAGAAAATACTCTAAATTACTACTGATTAGAGAAATACAAATTAAAACAACTCTGAGGTACCACCTCATATGTATCAGAGTGACTGACTATTATGATAGAAAAGGAAAACAGCAAATGTTGGAGGGAATATAGGAAAATTGGAACACTACTGCACTGTTGGTAACAGTGAACTGTTGTGAACTAATCCAATCATTCTAGAGAGCAATTTGAAGCCGTGTCCAAAAGACTGTAAAACTGTTCATACATTTTGACTCAGCAATACCACTTCTAGTTTTGTATCTCAGAGAGATTATACAAATGGGAAAAGGACCCATACATGCAAAAATATTGATAGTAGCTCTTTAAGTGGTGGCAAAGAACTGGGAATTGAGCAAATGCTCATCAATTGAGGAATGGTTGAACAGGTTGGGGGATATGATTATGATGGATCGCTATTGTGATATAAGAATTGATGAACATGATATTTTCAGAAAAACCTGGGAAGAAATATGTGAACTAATGCAAAGAGAGGTGAGCAGAACCAGAAGAACATTGTACACAGTAACAGTAATATTAAACAATGATCAACTGAGAATGACTTAATTATTCTCAGCAATACAATGATCCAAGACAATTCCAAAGGACTCCTGATGAAAAATACTCTCCACCTCCACAGAAAGAATGGATGGAGTCTCAATTAAGGCCAAAGCTTTGATTTTTTTACTTTCCTTTTTCTTTTTTATTGTTTTTTTTTCCTTTGGGACTGTGTTTTCTTTTGTATCTTGGCTAATGTGGAAATATGTTTTGCATGACTATACACATATAATATACATGCTTACGTATATACATGCAAACATACAGAATCTGGAACTTAAAAATTTTAAACTATCTGAAATTGTTTTTACATGCATTTAAGGAAAAATTGAAATAAATAAAATGAGAAAAAAAATGCCAGTTATTTACTACTGGTTCTCCATTTAAAGAATGCAATAACAACAGTTCCCACAGAAGAATTTCCTCTATGGGTTCCACCTAATGTAAGGGCCCAATATTTATCCCAGGCAAAGTCTCACATATAAGACCTTATAAACTCTGATTGAGAGAGGGTGCTGAAGCTTTTCCTTCACAGGGAGGAGAACAGCAGCTCATCATCCTCACTAGCCATTAAAAGGGAAAGAGACCAAGTGGCCTCCAAGGGAGTCTTTTATGTGTATTCTGAGTGCACTCAACATCCATGTTCTCCCAGGACTACAGCTTCAATGGCCAGTCCCTGTTATGGAGGAAGAATGAAAGGAAAGAAGGGAGAAAGAAGGAAGGAAGGAAGGAAAGAAGGGGGAAGAAAGGAAGGAAGGAAGGAAGGAAGAAGGAAGGAAGGAAGGAAGGAAGGAAGGAAGGAAGGGAGGGAGGGAGGAAGGAAGGAAGGAGGAGAGGGAGGAAGGAAGGAAGGAAGGAAGGAAGGAAGGAAGAAGGAAGGAAGGAAGGAGGAGGGAGGAAGGAAGGAAGGAGGGAAGGGAAGAGGGGAGAGGGAGTGAGGGGGGAAGGAAAAATGAGGAAAGGGGAAGGGAGGAGGCATAAGAGGGAACTATGGGCAAATGATTTCAATTCTTTCAGGGAAATATGAAGTGAGGCTGTTGGCTGTGAGGTGTCCAAGAAAGGGGAGCCCTGAGAGACTTGAGGGGTGACAAAAAGGTTTGGAATAACCATGGTACTCAGATAATTAATTATGGAGGCATAAAAGGATTGCTCTGCCACGGTGAGGGCCGAGTTGAGATGATATGAAAAGTATGTAGTGGACCCAATAGGCAAATTATTGTGATTTTTCTCTAGCTTCATTCATTAGCCCAGGAGTAAGGGCAAAGGAAGTAAATGGTGGGAGTAATCTCTACCCAGACTAGGACTTTGCATGGTGAGACTACAGAAAAGACAAGGAATTTTGAATTAAACATTAACAAACAATAATTGCAAAACAGAGAGCAGTAAAGTTTGTTGTTGCAATCCCTTGTACTTCAATGAACCCAAGAAATGATTACCTTAAAGGCTCAGTGGGGGAAAAGGTTATTGAGGCAAAGAGAATAAAATTTATACAGGCCTATTAGGTAGTAGACACTGTACAAGTATTGTACAAATATTGTCTCATTGGATTCTCACAACTGCTTCTTGAGACGTATGATGTTATCCCCATTTTACAGTTGGGGAAAGTGAGGTTAAGCGACTTGCCCAGAGTCACACAGCTAGTAAGTGTCTCAGGTCTTCTCAACTCCAGGCCCAGCATTCTCTCCACAGCACCACCTTACTACTAGGAAAGCTCTAATTTCTAAGGAGATTATCAAGTTTATAGTTTAGATCCTAATTGGGTAAGAACTCTAACAATATAATCTCAGGAGTCCTTTTGCTAGATCATCTGTATCTTGTGTGTGTTTTTCCTTTCTCTTTGTAAACGTGGCTGTGTAGGCTATGTCAGTCAATTAATGCTTATTAACTATATACCGTGTAAGAAATACTGCTAAGTGCTGGGGATATAAAAAGAGGCAAAAGGGAATCCCTGCACTCAAGGAGTTTGCAATCTAATGGGGAGACAACAAGCATGAGCAAACAAGCCATACACAGCATAAATATAGAAGAAAATCACAAGAGGGAAGGCACCAGAATTAAAAGGGGTTAGGAAAAGGTTCCTGTAAAAAGTGGATCTTAGTTGGGACTTAAAGGAAGCCAATCAGGAGTAATGAGCAGGGAAAGCGTTCCAGGTATGGATAACAGCCAGGGAAAAGGCCTAGAGACAAGAGATGGAGTATCTTTGTTAGTGGAACAGTCAAGAGACCAGGGTCCCTATATGAGAGGACATGGTGAGGAATTAGGTGCAAGAAGACAGGAAAGAAAGGAGGGGATTAGGTTACGAAGGGCTTCGAATCCCAAGCCAAGGATTGTGCATTTGATCCTAGAGAAGATAGGAAGACCCTGAAGTTTAGTAAGTGGAGGAGGTGACATAATCAGACCTGCACATTAGGAAAATGACTTAGGTGGATGAATGGAAGATAGACTGGAGCAGGGAGATAATTGATGCAGGTAGATCAACTAGCCGGTTATTTCAACAGTTCATGAATGAAGTGGGGAAGGCCTGTACTAGAATGGTGGCAATGTCTGAGAATGGGGGCTACTCAAGAGACATTGTAAAGGTGAAAAAGGCCTTAGTAAAAGATTGGATATGAGGGGTGAAAGATAGTGAGTAGTCCAGGATGGCACCTAGGTAGAGAGCCTAGGAAAATGATGTTGCCCTCTGTGATAATAGGGAAATTAGGAGGAGGTAGAGGGTTTAGGGGAAAAAAGATAACGTGTTCAATTTTGACAGGTTGAGTTTAAAACATCTAAAAGTAAACAGGAGATGGGAGACTGGAGGTCAGCAAAGAGATTTGGGTAGAATAGGTAGATTTGAGAATCATCAGCATAGAGATAGTAATTAAACCCATGGGAGCTGATGAGATCACCAAGTGAAGTTGTATAGATGGAGAAACAGCTCTGATAGAACTCTCTGGGACACCTACAGTAAAAGAGAATTTTCTGGATGAGGATGCTTTGAAGGAGACTAAGGAGCACACAGATGAGTAGGAGAATCAGGAATGGTATCTTGAAAACCCAGAGAGAAGTGTGTCAAGGAGAAGAGGGTGATTAACAGTATGAAAGGTTGAAAAGAAGTTGAGAGTTAAGATTAAAAAAAGGCCATTGGATTTGGCAACTGAGATTGTTGGTAACTTTGGAGAGAGCAATTTTGGTGGAATAATGAGTTTGGAAGCCAGATTATAAGGGTTAAGAAGAAAGTGAGAGGACAGGAAGTGCAGGCATCTATTGAAGACAGACTTTTCCAGGAGTTTAGTCACAACGTGTGGGAGAGACATGGAATGATCATTAGTGGTGATGGAATAATCAAGTGTTTGATTTGAGGCTGAGAGAGACATAGACATTTTTGTAGGTAGTAGGGAAGGAGGCAGTAGAGTGGGAGAGATTGGGGATGACAGAGATGGAAATCTGTTCAAGGAGATGGGATGGAATAAGATCACTTGTGCAGATAGAGAGGGGTTAGCC